TGTGTGTGTGTGTGTGTGTGTGTGTGTGTGTGTGTGTGTGTGTGTGTGAGTGGCGAATTCATTTGATAAAGTGAGTGAAAATGTTGCAAACGAGCTTTAAATTGATTTCGAATTTACAGAGCATAGTGAAAATACTGTCATATATAGCACTGATACTAAAATGTGTATGTGAAAATATAGTGCAAACATGATGTTTTTCATAACTGTTTCATGGCATGGACATTGATTTTGCTTGGCTCTCATTTTGTAAAATCGTTATTTGCATTAGGCAAAAATACGTCCTTACAAAATTGCTATGGCAACACATTCGCGAAATACCATTCACAAAGTAATGCGAATATGTGTGTTGGATGGGTTACAGCGGCAGAGAAAAAAATATATGCAATTATGTAGTCAGCGTCAGTGCAATTTTAATCCGTCTAGATTTCTTTTTTTTTTTTTGTTACCCGAGAATATTCCCACCATTTTCGACGACATACTATCTTGGGACGCTTACATGCTTCCATGTTTTGCTTGTTGGCCTTTTTTTTACTCTATCTTATTCGCTCTTTTGTCTCACTGTATTTCCTTCTCCATGGCTCTTTCTCTCGCTTGGTTGCAACGCCAGCGAATGAACATTGTCAAAGCTTATTTTTCTCTCGCGCTACGACAGAAATTAAGGAAAATATAGAAAAAAAGCAAGTGTCGTGTGTGTGATAAAAGTGGAGCATTTCGTTTTCATTCGGCACATGAATTGTCTCGCAATGCATTTTCATTACAAATTATTTTCTCAGTCTCAACCCTTTTCCATTGGAATCTTGTTTGTTCACATTATGGTTTGAAATTGGTGAGGGCCGCATTCATTCAATGAAGGCATTTTATATTTGGCCAAATTACATTTCCCTTTTTTCTCTCTTATTTCGTTCGCTTTCTTTTGTCATTCACCTCTCTCTTGCTTCCTCTCTTTCTAACTCATTTTTTTTCCTTTTTTACTGTCGATATGAATGACTATGATGGCGACGAATACGACGGCGACGACAAAAGCTCGAACAACAGATTGACGAAGCAGCAGAAGCGAAATGCAAAATTGAAAGTGTCACACTTCCTGACACATGCAGAGACAACAAATTAGACGTGATTACGCCAAATGTTAATTATTTAAATCCATACACAAAGCGCAAACATCGGTCGGGTGCGGAGGTAGGGGCAGAGACAAGAGTGTGAGGGGGGTCGTCAAGAATGGAAAAGGACCACATGTCGTTTGAACTTCGACTGCTCCTTTATGTCGAAACGAGCGTGCAAAAATCGTGACGGAAACAAAAGTACTTCACACAAATGCTATAAACGTTAAACACATTCAGGCAATTCACACATTCATTTCATTCCATTTTTCGGGGGTAAACAATACAGTGTAAAAATGTGAATGGGGAACATTTTCGTTTGTGAAATGAAGAGTCGTTCAACTGAATTGTGTGAATTAAGCGAAGCAAAAGCATTTTGTTGTTGTCAATTCGTTAACGGTTTTTTTTTCGAACTCTCAAAGTGGAAAAAGGTTCAGAAGCAATAATAATTACATCGGGTGTTTTTTTTTAAAAAACAAACGACAATCAAGTTAATGCCAATGAATTACTCGGATTTTATTGGATGATCATAGTGTCGCAACGATTTTCTAATAAAACTTAACCGAAGTAAACATTATACACAAAAGCAGTTAGTGCATTTTATGTTCACAGAAAAATAATTAAAAATATTTATATTTATATCGTATGATCTCTCGGCGGTCTTTAATCCTAATTATATCCACTATGTTTAATTTTTCTTTCTTATTTCGCACCGCATGCATTATAGCTTACGATTTAGCTAAAAATGTAACACAGATAAAATGGTGATGTTCGTATTTTTATTGTGATGGCAGAAGATATTATTTTCAATAATGCACGTTTCTAATGTTTTGTGTGAGTCGAATGTGTGCGTTACTGTGTAGTGATAATGGTTTTGTGTAAAATGTGAAAGAGATCACGTCGAATGTTTGGAACAATCATGTGCACAATAGACGCTCGCAAATGTGAACACTTCAGAAATTCGAATTTCAATCGAAACTCATTTTAGGACGATTTTTCTAATGAAACAACTGATTTTGATGACACATCGAAATAAAAACTAATCTACTTTTCGGTGCACTTCTTCCTCTCTCCTTTGTCTACTCGCCATTCGCCCTGCAATGGATATTGTTTGCAAAACATAATCGAATAGAACCATATCAACATTTTTAGCAAAAATTCTTTTCAAGAAAAAAAACATAGTGTTGTGTTAGACACGGCAAGTGCAGAAATCGAAACTTTGAATCATCAAGAGTCCACTATATTTTTCTCAAATTTATATGTATTGTGTTTGCGACAAAACAGAAAACTTAAGCTCCCTTAACTCGATTGTTTATTGTGTTTTACACGTTTCGAATAAATATCTAAATAAGCGTTTCAACGTATGCATTTGTTTTTCATTGTTATTTTTTTTGTCAGTTCGGTGTAGCTGGCTTTCTATTTATCTCGTGCGCAACAAAGCACAAGTATAATATAACATGGGACCAAAGGAAATTCGGCACAAGCAGCAAAGTGGCGTAATTCGATCCAAAAGTCAATGTTGTAATGATACGCGTGCATATGGTTTCTATGCGAAAGAAAAGAAGTTCGCTTGCACCACGAAAATGGTATTTATGAGGTCGAAATTAGATCCATATTATTAAGTTATTGAAGCAACGCCTAAGCACATCTTCTCAGCATTATTTTCTGTCTGATAAAACTCTGGTGTGCATATGATGTTGGAAGCGTTCAAATGGCGGCTTAAATTTGGCAAAATTCTTTTTTTCTTTTCTTCATTTCCAGCACCAAAGATGCTTGGTTGCTGGCTGCTGGCAGGCACATGTAATCGTCGCATAATGTAACAATTTGCTCATTTTCACAA